TCCCTTCCAACCCAAACTATTCTACGATAAGGAGAAAAAAACCAAAGCCTTAATTCATGGATGAGCATAAAACTTAAACCAGCTCTTTTTATTTGTTGCATGCTTGCAGATCAGCCAAAGCTTTAATTAATGCCTGTTTGGAGTCTCTTCTGCCTTGTGGGGTGGCAGTAAAAGGGACCAATGTGTATAGATGTGTCAGAAGGAGAAAGAGGGGTTTTGCTGGCTTAGCCAATGGTGTTTGGGAAGGGGAAATGGAAAGCTTTTGCCAGTGTTACTTTACCAACATGGCTTTGTCATGCACACAGCTGAACAAACAAGCGCTGGAGAGACTAAGTACTGATGGTGCAAAGTACCACCTCCTCCGTGCTGCTGTGCGACAGAGGTGGGTGCAGGAACGTGGAAAGAGCAACTCGGGGCTCAGTTTTTCAGGCTTGTAACAGCCACTCCTGCCTCATCTCCCAGGGGTCAGTGTTAACTTGTTGCAAACTGTCCTGTAGAAAGCCATGTGATCCTGAAAAGAAGTAACCCAGAACCCAAGTTAATCTGTGTTTGTTGGGGGTGGGGAGGTGTGTGTTTGTTTGCTTTTTCGTCTAGAGAAAAAACCTTTTCTGTTCCAGTTCCTGACTTGGGAGCAAGCTCCTTACTGAATGGAAATAAATTTGCCCAAAGCAATGATGAGCGAAGTATAGTCTGAACTGGTATTGCTGAGACTTTGTGTCTTTGCTCTGACCAGGGCATGATCATGTAATCTTCTCTCTGAGCTTATTTAGGCTAAGCTCATCTAGAGTAAACAGCTTTGCTGCTTCTTGAAACTTTTTGATGTACCCTAAAAAATACTGAAAAAAATATTAAGAATTTTTAGCAATTTCTTTTACTGGCAGAAAAACAAAACCTTGATTTGAAAAGTGAGTAGTACAAATACTTGTTTGGATTTGTGTATCTTGCTGCAATGCTGGGTTTAGTACTGAGCTTGCAGTGAGAGGGGTTTCTTGGTTTTTCTCCTGTGTGCAACATGGCTTACGAAACTCCAGATCCTCTGCCACTGTATCTTCTCTGTTTGTAAATGCAATGCAGACTCCGTAAAATGGAGTTTGAGCTGTCTGTCCTGTAGGCACCTCATCAGCAGTTGGCTCAGCTGTATTCTCATCTAGTGCTTGCCAGCACGGAGGCAGGAGTATTTTCAGAAGCAAGTTGTGGTGTTGGGCCTGGCTCTGGTGCTCTGCTCTGGATGAAGTGCAACCCTTTGGGGGGTGGGGGAGAAAAGGCTCGGCTAATCAAGCAAGTACAGGAAAAGATATGGAGCTATTCTCTAATCTAGTTCTTATTCTCTTCCAGGTCTTGGTGACAGCTTTACGTTCTTTCTGCTGAGAAGGAAACTTCTGTGGGGAGTATGTACCTAGGAGTATAGTTATGGTGTTTTTTTTCTTAACAGGAGAAGCCACATGGTTTCTATTAAGGACGTAGGGA